TGGGAACTATGATTCTTTGTTCTTTGTGTACATGCTAGGACAACGGAGCCTTCTGGTGGTTGGCTGGAACAAGGAGCAAGGAGCAAAGAGAAATTGTTGCCATTTCTTAACCAGAACTGTAGCAAACTTAAACTCTGCAGCCTTGTATGCTTTATGCGAATGATCAGTGCATGTTGTGTGATGTAATGCATTTGTGATAGGACATTAACAAAATTGCTACGTTAACAAAGATTGCTTCTAATAAAAGAGGATTTCGGAGTTCTCTCTGCGCTCTCATCCCAAGACAACTTTGCAAAGTGTCTTCTTTTCATGAGAGAGCACCACAACTGGTGACCCCGACGTGATCCACTCAAAAGAGATACGTCTTTGGCACACCCATTCTCATCGTCTGGAATAGACTTGGTGTACCTCATCCGCTTGAATCGCTGGCGACAACGGATCCCTCGTGAGTATGGGTGGTAGATTCTCTAAGGAGCAGGCAGCTCACATTCAGGAAATCAGAGAATTGACCAAATGAATTTTTTTTACCTTTAAAAAGGGGGGCTCCCTTCATGCCCCCCTCCCAGAAACCTCTATTGAGGAACTCCTAGAATACATTTGGCAACACCGCCCTTCTTATCCGGCTAAAGGCAGTATCAAAACTACAGTATGGAAGGAGATTGGAAAATACCTTCATGCAAGTCCTAGGGCCCCTTCGTCTATATTAATTGCTTGGAGGGTGGTTTTTGAGGCTCTCTCCTCTCTAGAGCAACCCCTACTTGGCCCCCTTTCTGGACCCCCTCCCTATGTGAATCCTGCTGTACAACTCTTGCCCCCCGCTGTGTCTCTTAAACCGACTGCCCCCCCGGAGGCAAATGAGATTAGTAAACCTCCCCCCCTTCTCCTGACCCCCCCTCACCCAATCCCTCTTCTTCTCTTGTTCTCCCTTCTGTGCCTTCCTCTCCTGCCTTACCCCCTCCTATGGGTGCGGTTCATGCCGCCATCACTGCAGGAGTTAGAACTGGCGAGTTAGATCACTCCAACTGCCCATCGGCGTTCCTGTTAGTTTATGTGCAGAACGCGCAGGGACAAAACGTCCCGCACTGGGAACCCATCCCTGTTAAATCAATCAAGGATATCAAACAAGCTGTACAAATGTATGGTATTCAGGTTCCATTTACGATGGGATTATTTAGAATGATGGCTAACGCCCATATAATGATCCCAGCTGATTGGCATAGCCTTTTTCATATGACTCTAACAGGGACTCAATTTGTTGTATGGCAATCGGAGTTTTTCCATCATTGTCGCCTATTGGCAGCTCAAAATCCGAATCTTACCGCAAATGAACTGGCAGGAGAGGGTGCCCTTGCTGCTCCCACAGCTCAATATAATAGCCCTATTAATGTTCTTAACCTTTCTACACAAGCTGCTCTGCTTGCTCTCTCTCGTTTGGATGACCCTCATACCTCCGCACAATCTTTTGCAAAAATTCTACAAAATTCCAATGAACCCTATGCCGATTTCATTGAATGCCTCCAAACGGCCCTACAAAGGCAAATTACAAATGAGGCGGCTCGGCAGGAAATTCTTCTTAAATTGGCATATGAGAACGCTAATGCACACTGTAAAACCTTGCTTACTCCCTTGATTAATTCTCCAGATGCCACTCTAGCCCAATTCCTACAAGGCTGCAGGGTGGTGGGAACACACCAATACACTTCTGAAATGATGGCTGCAGCTATCACCAGAGGTAATAAGCCATCTGGTAATTGTTACAATTGTGGGAAGCCTGGCCATTTTAAATCACAATGTCGAACCCCCGGCGGGGGGGCAGCAAAGCCCTCCGCCAGTAGAGATGTTCGACCAAAAACAGTCTGCCCGAAATGTAAGAAAGGCTATCATTGGGCTAATCAATGTCAATCAAAAACTGAACCCTCGGGAAACGAGTAGAGGGGCCGGCAGCTAGCCCCTCTCCCAAGGCTGCCCATATACCATCCACTGTGTATGAATTATCAGTGGCAGAAGATGTGCTCATATCCTTTCCCCATCTACCACTCTCTGTCGGTGCACAGCTTCCTCCTTCTGCCTCCTTCTCCTCCAATAAAACTGCTCTTATACAATCTCTCCCTCATGCCCTCCTCAAAGGAATCTCTGTGGTTCCCGATCTGCTTTATCCTTCCTCAAAACTCTCAGCCATTAACCTTTCTGTGCTATCCACTCTTCCAACGAAGTTACAAATGGTGACGTCGTAGCAAAAATGATCATGGTACCGCAACTTCCCTCTGATGTGCTTGCCCTCACTAGATCTATCACCGAAACTAAGCCCACACTCTTGGCTTTAATCAAAGGTCGCCGCTTCACTGGTCTTCTGGACTCTGGTGCTGACGTCTCGGTGATACGCTCTGATGAGTGGCCTAAAGACTGGGAAACAGAGACCTCCCCATTGGTAAGAGGTGTAGGAGGGATTCAAACAGCTCGCATCAGTAAGTTTTGGCTCCCTGTGACTTCTGAAAACCTCACAGGGACTGCACAAATAAAGCCCATCATCCTCCCCCTTCACACGAATTTGTGGGGGAGGGACTTACTCTCTCAATTTGGTGCTAAATTGCAGCTAGAATGACTCACCCTCTTCCCCTTCGCTTGACCTTAACCACGGACATTCCTGTTTGGGTTGATCAATGGCCATTGCCAGCAAATAAATTGCTTGCATTGCAGCAATTAACAGCCGCATCCGCTGCTACTATTCTATCCTCTTTCTCTCTTTCTCCCCTAACCCCTTGGGACAGTCATAACTATTTTCATCAAAATAAAAGGGCTCTTATGAAGGAATTCCAAATCACTGTCCAAGAGGCTGCTGCAATTATTCAACAATGCCCTACTTGCAGCAAGCAAGCCCCTGCCCTGCCGATGGGAGTAAATCCCAGAGGCTTAAAAGCCTGCCAAATTTGGCAAATGGATGTAACCCAGTATGCGCCTTTTGCACCATGGAAATATATCCATGTTTCAGTTGACACATACTCAGGGTTCATCATGGCCTCCCTGCAAAGAGGAGAGACCACAAAACATGCCATTAACCACTGCATCCAGTCATTTGCGTGCCTGGGAAAGTCCTCAGAATTAAAAACTGATAATGGCCCCACCTATACTAGTACCAACTTTGCTACCTTTTGTAAACAATGGGGCATTTTGCACAAATTTGGCATTCCATACAATTCTCAAGGGCAGGCCATAGTAGAAAGAGCCAATCTGACCCTAAAGAATGCTCTTGACAAAGTTCAAAACTCGATGGGGAAACTCATCCCAGGGCTACCCACGCTGCAAAACAAGCTTAACTTGTGCTTATTTACACTGAATTTCCTGAATGAGTCTGGCACACCTGCTTCTTCTGCCGCCTCTCGACACTTTTGCTCTCCATCCAAGGATGCTCCTAGACCTCCAGTCTACTTCCGACAGTTGCCAGATCCCACATGGCATGGGCCAGCTGAACTTATAACCTGGGGACGAGGGTACGCGGCTGTTTCCTACAACAACGCCATCACCTGGGTCCCCGGACGACAAGTGAGGCCTTTTCTACCCAAACTAGCCTTGCCTACATCAGCATCATGAAGCTGCTCGCTGCATTCATCATTTGCCTCCTGGGTTTCCACATCGTTCCTGCTGATACGACAGCCACCCCATCCTCCTGCGACGCCTGCATCAAAACTACTCGCAGCGGAACAAAAACCCAATCCACCCTGATCTATCATACCTTGAAGCCTGAGTGCAACTCCACGACGGTCTCTCCTTGTCTGCATAACAACACTCAATATGCGCGATGTTACACTGCTGAAGGCATTCAGTGCTATGAGCCCAAGGCAGTGGGACCCATTACAGCATCCCTATATGTCTATGCATACAAAGGTGGCTCCAGTTCTGATCTTGCAGGAATGTTCTCTACCAGTCAAACAAAAAATGGGTACATAACCCATAATGTCACTCGGGGGGGTACCAACACCTCAGTATGCTTTGATGCTTGCCTTGCCATCAGCAAAGGTCAAGGTCCTAACGATGCTGCAGGAGTTACCTGCGGCTCACACAGCTGGCAGAGATCTTATCTACAGGAAAAGAAATATCTCTTTCAAAAGTGTCCGGGACTAACGTGGGGGCCACCACTGTTTACAACTACTGGTACACCCCACCTATTGACTCTGCTCAAGTAAGAGGCCCTCAAAATATTAATATCACTGTTAAATCAAGCTCTACTTCATGTACCACTGACAAATGTAATCCCATTTGCTTGTAC